AGTGACTGGTGTAGAATTTCAATCTCAGTTTTTTTTTGTGATAAGGTAAATTTAGGTTGAAGATGGCAATTTGGGTCTAGATTTAGGAATTCTTTTTGGTCATCTGTTAATTTATGACGAGATAGGTTTATATATTTGTCTTCGCTGTTGGGTATTAGAATGTTTCCTTGGTATAATTTACATAGCATTTTTGTGATTATTTGTCTGTGTGTAAGTTGATGTTCCTTAATGCTAAGGTTGAGGTGGCACAGTACCTCTTTATATTCTGATTCAGTCAAGGTGTTTTTTAGTGTCATGTTATGTTTGTGGATTTCATTATTTAAATGTTGGATGTCATTTTTAGCTGATTTTATTTGTCGTAAGACAAGGATTTTTCTGAATGTAGCAGTGTTATTTTCCTTGTTGGCTGCTGGGTCGTATAATTTGATAGTTGTTTATTTAGGTAGCAATCCTTCATTTATGCATATTTCATTAAAAACGACAGACAAATTACTACAATTAAACTTTTTATTTAATTTTTCTTGTGTTTGAAAAAGTGTTTCCTTTTCTGGACACAGTGTGTGTAGAAACTGTCCAAATGTTCTATAATTCTGAGTGATTTTGGCTATACATTTAGCCATTATCAAGGATGATTTTATTTATTCAGTTCAATTGTTTAACAGTTCAACAATGGCTTCCCTAACCACCTTATAGACCACCAAATTAGGTTATTTCTCCCCAAGGTAAATAACAATGATAGTGAACATAGAGTCAAAAATCACATAAATATTTTCTACAAAAACCAAATGCACATTAACTACAAACAAGATGAATCTTCAAATATTATAAAGAAATACACTATTCCAATTGACCCAAAAAAAAAAAAATCAAATTATCTACTACAAAAAATTTAAAACAGCTAACCTTATCCTCAAATATAACAACACACCAGCTAAGTCAAAATTATAATGAATGAACATTATCTATGAGTTCAATTGTCCCTTACGGAAGTGTGTTTCTGATCAAACTGAATTCATAAATAATTGCATCAGTCACATGACTACATGCCTATCTAGACGCCTTAAGTTACACCGATCTGACCATAGCTCTATTAGAACCCATTTAAACTTACACAGAAACTCACCAGACTTCATCCTAAACATACTAGTAGAAAATACAGACATAATAATCTCATCCACCTGTAAAAAATGTTAAAATAATGGAAGCCCTAATAAGAAAAAAGAAAAGTACAATACTTAATAAAATTGACTACAAACATGGCCACAATGTGCTGTGTTTGGAAAATAAAACATCTCTATAACACTAAAAACATACACACAACACACAGAATTAAATTGAAAAAATAAAATCATCCTTGATAATGGCTAAATGTATAATGCTGAAAGTGCTCAGAATTATAGAACATTTGGACAGTTTCTACACATTATGTGTCAAAAAAGGTAGGAACTGTTTGAACACAAGAAAAATTAAATAAAAAGCTTAATCATAGTACCTTGTTTGTTGTTTTTAATGAAACATGAATATATATATATATATATAGAGAGAGAGAGAGAGTGAGAGAGAGAGACTAAGATAGATATAAATTGACATAGATGAATAGATATAAATAAATTGACCCAGGTAGGTAGGTAGATAGATAGATAGATATGAATCGACTGAGATAGATTTAACAGACTTGATATATCGATAGATATGGACATATTGAGGGTATATATATGATTCCAAGTTGGTTCAGTGTAATGAAAGAGCAACTAAGAGAAGAAAACAAATAATAAACAGGGAACACTTTTATTCTTTTTCACTTTCCTTTGTTCCTTCTTCTTTAGAATTTGAAATGTAAAGAAAATTATATGGGCTGTGGAGATGTGCTCATTCCTATCTTATATCCAAAATATCCTCTTGTGTCTTTTAATAAGGCTCTCTTATGTTGCTAATCAGATTTGATTGGAAAACTATCAAGACATAACAGATTCTTGATTAAATTTATTTTTCTTTTTTGTGCATTTTTCATTTTCGGTTTTGGCCAGAGGCAATATTTCTTGGGACTGTTTTCGTATCATTATTCAAAATATTTGCAAATGATTCTCTGATTCTTTGCTTCTATTACCAATTTACAGAAATAAAGAATTATCGATAATTTGAAAAGGAGAGGAAGAAAGAAAAGAAAATATATTGTGTCATAGAAATATATTGCAGCATTTTTTTTTTTTAATCATTTTACCCCAAACAAGGCAATAAAGCCTCCTAAGATGCAAGGGTCTACTAAATGTGAGAGAATATAAGGAAAAGAAAGCATTATTAAGGAGAAAGAACAATAAAAGAACATGACATAAGAAGAGAGAAGGTAATATTTAAATGGTGCAGCCACTCATATCCAAAAATCCAATCTACTAGGGCAGAGCAGCTAACTAATCCCTGTTGCAGACGCCTACTCAGGCACATTTGTGCTTGTTCAACACCCACAGTTTATGGTAGAGTGAATGTTATCTAGTGTAATCAACAGTCTGAACAAGGCCAGCATGCTCAAATCCTCGGTCACGATGACTTTTGACTTTGTGTTAGCACAAACATTGATGGCTCACAAGGGTTCCGTCCACCCAATTTCACTCACAAAGTTTCGGTCAACGTGGTATGGTTTTCAACAGGAAGAGGGATCATCATTTCAACTTAAAGCTAAATGCATTCTTATTGTTCAGAGTCCAATAGTGGTATAAAAACCTCATAGAATTCCAGTAAGATATCTTTAATCATTTCTAAGATACAACTGTTCAAGGCTTAATCTAACAATTGGACAGTTGTGTGGTTACACCCTGTATATATATGGAGGTACAGTGGATTAATGGACAGCAATTTTGATTGTGGAATTGGAGACCCGAGTTTGAATTCCAGTTGAGTTTGTTACATTTCCTTATGTGCAAATACTCTTGGGAAAGGTGTGAATCAATCTGTTCTCTCCACAGCTATGGTTAATTAACAGGACAGACTGGATCTCTATAGCCTTAGGTGGCAACCAGTCTAGGAGAAGGACAACTCTGAATTCAAAACCTGAAGAGGATCATTTGGGGAACTTGGAACTTGTGGCACACTATATTAACCAATTTTAATGCCTCCAAAACAAAACTGCTCTCTATTAATCATCTGAGAGAACCCTTTCTCCCTTCCATTGGCATGGCTGATGCTAACCTCCAGGAGAGTGACTCAGTGCATCTTCTTGTGCATACTTTTTTGTTGACATGAAGTGGAAAGATTATATTGAATCAGTTGCTATGTCTGCTGATAGGAAAGTTGGTTCTCTGTGTCCTGCAAGACAATTTTTCTCACCAGAATTTATCTTACATATTTATAAGTCTACCATTCATCCATGCATTCACTATTGCTGCTGCATTCAGTCTGGTGCTTTTGTTATCGATTTATAGATTTTTGATAAAACCCAAAGAAGGATCTGCTATGTTATTGGTCCTAACATGGTATCTCATCATCAATCACTTTCTCACCACCATTATGTAGCTTCCCTGTGCTTTTCTATAAATAAAGGGTGATTCATTAAGATGGATCAAAGTCAGCAGTAAATAAATCAGTGTTATTAGTGAAAATTTCTTTTTTTCTTTATTGGATCCTGTTATTTAAGTCATGGTAATTATGTGCAAAAAATAATCTCCCAAATGTCCGCCAGGGCTTCGCCGGCACACCTCTACTTGACGGTCAAAATTTTTGATGACCTCACTGCATAGTTGCTTCTCGATCTCACCAGCATGACTTATTATCTCATCCTTCAGCTGTTGAATTGTTGTTGGCTTGTTAGCATAGACCTTACTTTTGAAATGACCCCAAAGGAAGAAATCTAAAGGCGTCAAGTCACATGATCCTGGTGGCCAATTAACTTCACTGTTTCAAGAGATGATGTGACCTGGGAACTTCTCATTCAAATTCTGTTTGAATGTCCATTTTCATAATAGGCTTCAATAACTTTAACACATTGTTTGATTGTTAATCTTTCCATGGTTGAAATTGCCAAAGACTTAAGTTATTAAATCTGAAAGAAAAAGAATTAAATCATTAGACACTTGAACTTAATTCACATTTAAAATCGGTCCAAATTATTGGAACACCCTTTACTTTTATTAGTAAATGATATGATAAAATTTCCTCTATGGTACCTAGACTCTATGAATTTAAGTTCAAACTATATTGGTGGCAAGATCTCATCATTTTATAGTTGAAATAGCTAGATGTAACTGTAAGTTCAGTGCTAATGGTTTCTTTTCTTGCACCTGTGGAACTCTCTTCTGATTTTTGTTTCCCAGTCAACTTTGATCTTTAAAAATTTAAATGCAGTTTCAATTGTTATTTTCTGTATTCTTAATTCTTGTTCTTTTATTGCTTTCTTATATTCTGTAAGACTCAATAACCCCCTTGCATCTTAGTGGCTTTAATGCCTTGCTTTGGGTGAAATGATTAAAAAAAAAAAAAAAAAGAAATGAGCAAGATCATATCAGCAAAGCACTCCTCTGCTGCCATTGGCTGTTGCAGAAAGTTGTAAATGTGTGGTGCCAGACCATGGAGTGTGAAAGGCCGGATTGTACAATAAGTTCATGGATATTACTTGAGTTTTGTGATTTGTAATTTGTTGTTATACAATGAGGGATTCTAACTGACGAAACAAAATCTTACTCAATAAACTGAGTGACAGCACTTCACCAGACAAGAGAAAGATATTTACTATGGAGAAATTTCAGTAAACTTAAATATTGCCTAAAGGTTAAATCCACTTTGGCAGGAAGGGAGACAAGCCTGCTACTGCTTAGAACACATCCATTAAGCTGAGGAGTGGAAATCTAATATCTTCAGAAATTTGTTAACTAAGAATGGTGAGTTCAATCCTTGGTAGGACCACAAAAGTCAGTATAGTTAACACTAACAATATTTTTTTTTCCCCAAATGTGAAACCTGTTTGTTAATTAATTGGATTTCTCATTGTATATTTTTTTTCTTTACCTCAGCTCAGGCCGTTCTCCGTCTTACGCATTTTGGTTGGTCCAACCAAATAAACCAAATTTCTTTCTGGCTGGTCTGAGCAATGACGGTCTCGTTACAGCTGACTCGGGAGGTTGCATTCAATTGTGGGAGACATCACTCATACATTTAGAGCGTTCTCTTCAGGAATGGAGAAATATGATTGGTTATGAAGACACACGGCCATTGCAAGTAAGTGAATATCTACATCAGTTTTTTTTTAAGAAGTCAAAATATTTTAAATACATTCAAAGACTTGTTCCAAAATTGGTCTCATTATTTTGATTTTGAGATACCTTCAATAATTTTGAGAAGAATTGTTATCATTCCAAGGATTTTTTGTGATTATTTAGTTTCAATATTGTTGTGGCCATGTTAGGGCCAGAAATAAAGACACAAAAATGAGGAATTGAGTTAAACAAATATATTAACAGAAAGAGTAATACAAATATATACAAATGAGAATGTTACAGCAAGACTGTTTGGTCAGACTGTCTGATCTGACTGTTGGAAACTTCCCTTTCCAAAAGGCAGTACCTGCTCCTATTTATAGCTGGGAGAGTCCATGTGTGCATAGGCAAATTACCATAACAAGTATGGCAGGGGGTGTTATGCATCTCAACTCAGAATTTAGAAATCGGAGAACTGAGTTCAAATTCCAGTCAAGTTCATTACATTCACTTACGCGCAAATACCATTGGGAAATCCACCTCTCCTCTGTATCTTGGCTTACGACCATATTAGGTTGAAACACCGGTTCTCATCTGATCACTGAAGTTAAGCAATGTTGAAGCAGGTCACTGCCTAAATGGGTGACTGTTTGGGAATACCAAGTGCTGTGACCTTGGATGTATGGGTGGTGTAATGAATAAAGGCTCAGAATAAGAAATCGAAGAGCCAAGTTTCAATTCCAATTGGGTTTGTTATATTCACTTCTGTGAAAAAACCATTGGGAAAAGTATGAATTCACCTCTTCTCTCCCCACCTATGGGTTAATTAGTAAGACTTGTATCTCTAAACTATTATCATACACAAACAAAAAAAATTTTATACAGTAATAAAAGACCTTCAAAGGATTGATAAGGTGTAGAAAACAAACAATGAAATGCTGATGTCAGGCATGTATTCTCTAGAAACTATTGTGGCCACAAAGTGAGGAATCAGTTTCTATAGTGATTATAATATAAAATTGATCCCCCACTTTATATCCACATTATAATTTCTTGTAAGCATGTCTTTTAGATTTATATTCTCTAGAAACTACCGTGGCCACAAAGTGAGGAATCAGTTTATATATTGATTATAATATAAAATTGATCCCCCACTTTATATCCACATTATAATTTCTTGTTTGTTTATCAGATTCTGATTAAGTATAAATCCACCCCTTCTATGGGTTAATTAGTAAGGACTTGCATAACTCCATCTTTATTATCTCAAAAAAAAAAATTCTTACAGTCAAAAATATTTTCCAGCTTTATATAACCTGCAAAAGGTTGATAATCTGTAAAAAAACAAACAATCATTTCTTATTCCCAATTTACCTCCAGCCGCCATTTTCTTTACTCAGTGCAAACATTATTGTGAAAATCACGAATCCATCTTGTACTAAGCTCATATAGCTGAGTAGACATTGCTGTTTAGCCTTGGATGGCAACCAGTTTAATAGAAAGAAAACTCCAAATTTCAAAATGTGCAAAAAGTCAAAAATATACAGTTTAATAAATAAATGAAGTGTCTACTCAAATATGAATATCTACTAAAATAACATTTAAATTGATAAAATCTGTTGAATTAATAAATAAAATAGAAAAATCTGTTACTTTTTTACAAAATTGCTAGGTATATATAAATTATATAATGATTGTGAATGCTGCATCTAAGAAATTGAAATCTAATACTACTTTTGTAAAATGTAAATATACGAAACAGCCTTATATGGGCATTCTGAAAAGTAAAACTATGAACAGAATGGTTAAATATGGCTGATTTCTACTAAATGGGTTTTGATATTTGCATATTATTTTGAGGAATGAGTGAGAATCAGATTGCCTGTTATATTTGATGTTTTAACAGATTAATTATGAACGAGAAAGTGGTAAAGAAGCAGAAGGCCCGAAACATGGCAAGATTGATCCCGACAATGTACCCCATGTTGGTGGTAACACCTGGGCAGGTGGAACAGGTAAGAGAAAACTTTTATTCTGGTGTCGTTATAGAATATTGAATATCTTTAAAGATTGTTCCCTTTTGAGAGTGCTTTACCATTATACAGAAAAAAACAGCACATTGTAGCAGTACTTTTGTTAGAGAATGCCATTCAAATGCTCTAACTTGAAGAGAGTTTGCACCTTAATAGTGTGGGGTCTATTTTTGGGCTCACCTTGATAATACTGATCCTATTTTTGCACGTTTTCACTGCTTGTTACAGGAGTTGAAAAAACATTGTCTCAAAACTAAAAGCTGGAGGAGAAAAACATGACATAATGAAATTTGTTGTATCATATCACAATCCCTGTAATTCATTAGTTTTTTTAGTGGCACAGCATTTCTTTCAGCCATAACAGCATTGGTGTGTCTAGGGCAAGATAGGCTGATGGAGTCCATTTCTCCTGAGGTTGCTTTTGAATTCAGAATTTTCCATTTCCTAGAGTAGCCACAAGCCCAAGGCAAGAGATCCCAGTCTAGTTTGTTATTTAATCCATAACTGGAAGAAGATGGCATTGACATGAAGTAAACAAAAAGGAATTGACAAGAATTTGAACTCATATCACCAACTTCAATTTTTGTATCAATAACAATTACACCATCTACACATGCATATATATATATATATATATATATATATATATATATATTTTTTTTTTTTTTTTTTGAACAATAAAAAATATTAAAAAATTAAAATCTTCAGACACACTGGGTTTTATATTAATATTTCTTCGTTTTTATTATTATTTCATTTAGATTCCTCGACTAGTTTCGGCCAACATGGCCATCATCAGGAGAAAAATAATTTTCTATTTGCTGGTAGCAGTGAACTACAGAAATGAATGTCTAAATCTCTATACACACACACACACACACACACACACTTCATTAAAAAAAACAACTGACAAGGTACTGCAGTTAAGTTTTATTTAATTTTTCTTCTGTTTCTATAATTTTCTTCCTTTCTGGCCATAAATTATAGAAATTATCCAAATATTCCATATGTCTGAGCACTTTTGGTTTTTGGTTATACTTTTTCAAGGATGATTTTATTTTTACTTTTAACTGAATGTATGTATTTTTTTATGTATGTATCTAGAGTTATATGAATGTTTTATTTTCCAAACATGGTCAGCACATTGTGGCCATGTTCATAGTTAACATCATTGAGTGTCAGTTTTTCTTTTTTATTATTAGTGCTTCCATTATTTTTAGTCATTTTTAACATGTGGATGAGGCTAACATATTTGTATTGTCTACAATTATGTTGTGGATAGAGTTTGGTAGGTCTCTGTGTGTATTTAAATGAGACTGAATTGACCTATGATCAGAGAGATGTCACATGAATTTTCTTGTTAGGCATATTGTAGTATATCCAATATAATTATTCATGAATCTGGTTTGATCAGGATCACAGTTCCTTAAGCCCCTTAATCCTTGTGGATTAATAAATAATATCGGTTCTCTGTATTTTTGGGCTCCCTGTGCCGCACCAGGAAATTTTTCTCCACGGAATCGATCCTCCAGATCTACAAATCAACAATTTGCCTTGCATGGAATATTGCTGCCATATATGGTCTGGAGCTCCTTCTGTTTGCTTCGGGGTTCTTGATAGGCTCCAGAGGCGGATATGCAATATAACTAGTCCTGATCTGGCATCTTGTCTACAGTCACTTTCTCACAGATGTGCCGTCGCCTCTCTCTGTCTGTTTTACAAATACTTTCATGGCAATTGCGCTGAGGAGCTGCATTCGCTGGTTCCCAGATTTCATGAGTTCAAGCGCCCAATGAGGCTGGCATCCCGCTCTCATCCTTTCACTGTTGAAACTCCTAAATGTAGCCGTCTCTTCTATTCCAATAGCTTCATGTCTCGCACCTCTCACCTGTGGAACTCCCTTCCCTATTCCAGTTTCCTTGAGAGCTATAATCTCCAACTATTCAAATCTAATGTCAATTGACATCTCCAGTTGCCTTGATCTATCTACTACCCTTTTCATTCTTTCTTCTATCACTTCTATCTGATCTTGCTCCAAATTTTTCTGTAACCCCTTGCGTCCTAGTGGCTTCTCGCCTTGCTTGGGGTGAATCGCTTAAAAAAAAAAAGTTATTGTTGTTGTTGATGATGAAGTTAACAGATTTAAATTTTAAAACTGTTAGCCTCATCTTTAACTTGATAGACAACTGTCAATACTGTTAGATCTCATGGAAAATGTAAAATGCAACTCTTTTTAGTAGTGAAGCCTCAGGCCAAGAAAAAAAAATCAATTTAATTAGGTGACATTCTTTGATCTCTTCAAAGACTGATTTCTTTTTAAGGCATATCAACCATTCTGCAGGTTATCTAAAGCCAGAAAATATTTTTTAGACTGTAAGAATATTTTAGAGATAGTAATAATTTCTACTGATACAAATTCAACAAATTAACCCATAGCTTGGGGGAAAAGTGGTGGATTCTTTTCCCAAAGATATTTGCAAAAAAAAATAAAGGGAACAAATAATAGTCTGAATTCTCATATTAAATCTCTCTCTCTAATAAAAAGAGAGTTCAATTTAGCACACCATTCAGAATATAAATAAATACATATTAAAATTCTGAACATTTTCTTTCTGTAGGTGGCCGTGATACGGCAGGCCTGGGTGGATTTGGTGGGCCATATCGTCTAGATGCAGGCCATGATGTTTACCAGGTACCTCAACATGAAAAGGATGCTGTTCCTGAAGAGGTAAGGAATTTTTTTTTTAATCATTTCATCCCAAGCAAGGCAATAAAGCCACTAAAACACTGGGTTTGAGAGAATATGAAAAAAAAAAACATTATTAAGAAGCAAGAAAAATAAAAAAATTGCAATTAAGAAGACAGAAGATTAAAACAGGGAATCATTTTTTGTGGGGTGGTAAGTACGATAAAGACAAACTGAGAGCTGATTTAAAAAATTACCTCTAATCAGTTGTTAATTATTAATAATGTAAATAATAGTTCTGGAAAGGTTATAATAAACTACAACAACTAATAATCAGTTAGTTATGTGCCATGCGTGATACACACTTACACAATCATGTATCTTTCGATACATAACTGATGAGGCAGATTCTTTCCTGCAGTAGGTTGTCCCATTTTTTTTCTAGGGGAGAAGAAGACCAGCCGCTATCCATATGGATACTGACAGAACCTGGTCTGTCCTGGTATTTACCAGTTGCCATAGCTAGAACCTGGGGGGAGAAGAAGAGGATTCATACCTTTCCCAAGGGTATTAGCATGTACGTGAATTTAATGGATTTCTCTGGAAAGTCAGTCAGTCAGTTATATGCCATGCGTGATACATGCTTAGGCAATCATATATCGATTGATACATGACTGACGAGGCAGATTTTTCTCAGTAGTAGGTTGCCATTTCTTTCTGTGGTAGACCAGTTGCCATCCAAGGCTATAGAACCCGGTCTGTCCTGCTATTTGCCCATAGCTGAGGGGAGAAGAAGAGGTTTCATACCTTTCCCAAGGGTATTAGCATGTAAATGAATATAATGGATTTGACTGGAAACTACGTCAGTTATGTGCCATGCGTGATACATGCTTAGGCGATCATATATCTTTCGATACATAACTGACGAGGCAGATTTTTTTTTCCTACAGTAGGTTGCCATTTCTTTCTGCAGTAGACCAGTTGCCATCTAAGACTATAGAACCCGGTCTGTCCTGCTATTTACCCATAGCTGGGAGAACAGAAAAAGAGGATTCTTATCTTTCCCAAAGGTATTAGCACGTAAGTAAATGTAATGAATTCAAGTGGAATTCAAACTTGGCTCTCCGATTCCTCAATGCATTACTCCACCATGCCTAATAATAATAAACTACTAACAGAATATAGTTTTCTTGATTCCTTTCCAGAGGTTGTTGTACCAATGATGGGGGGGTGCATGATCTGCTGATGATATAGGTATTCATAATTAACATAAGAATGCTAAAAAAGACCACTATCCTTTGCTAAGTGTTCCAAGAAATAGAAATCAAGAAAAATTCTTCCAAAAACATTGAATGAAAGCAGTGATGACATGACGTACCCTGAATTCACATACAGCTTCATAATGTGAAATTAATAAACTCTAATTACCTCAAATGCCTTGGTGTATGCATCAGTTATAAAAAAAAAAATTTAGCATAGGAGATGAGGAAACTGAAAACAGGATATGGGTAGTTTTGCCCAAGTTGCTACAAAACCAAAACATTAACTTAAGAACGCAAGTAGGTCCTGATCTGGCATCTTGTCTACAGTCACTTTCTCACAGATGTAAAGTGGCTTCGCTCTGTCTTTTCTACAAATATTTTCATGGCAACTGCTCTGACGAGTTGCTTCACTGGTATCCCAACTGCATGAATTTAAGCTTGCTACTAGGTTGGCATCTTGGTCCCACCCTTCCACTGTTGAAATCGTTAAATGTAATCTCTTTTACTCCAACAGTTTCTGATTTTGCACTTCCCAACAGTGGAACTCCCTCCCTCTTACTTGCTTCCCTGATAGCTATAATCTTCAAATATTCAAATGTAATGTCAATCAACATCTTCTGATGCCTTGATCCTGATCTCCATCCTTCACTATAACCTTTCCTCAAACACCCCTCTTTACTCTTGCTCTCACTCTCTGTAACTCCTTGAGTGCAAGTGGCACTCCCACCTTGCTTGGGGGCATATGCTTAAAAAAAAGTCTTTTTAAATAGGCTTGTCAGATCTAAATTCTCAGATGGCTGTTGTGCTTGTTCATTTAACGCATTTATAAATGTCAAAACTATCAGCTTAAAACTAAGAAAAGTTTTCTAGACTTCTATGTAATGTCTAATCTGTACAGCAGTGAATGCAGGACAGTTTTCATACACATGAAGAAATGAGTTGAAACAACAGATGTTATTATCTTAGGCAAGTTAGTAAAGGAAAAGAAGAAGAAAGGACTAACTGTTAGCTGAATGTGTAAGCTGTAGTAAGTCAGATAAAGTCAAACTGGTAGCTGATCTTGAAAACGACATCCAATCAGTTGTTAACTGGGACAAGAAATGGCTTCAAAGTAATAATGGCACATACCCTGAATCCATAAAAATTCATATTGTGGAATTAATAAACTCTAAATACCTCAAATACGTTGGTGCATGGACCAATTATAACAAATTTAGCATAGGAGATGAAGAAACTGAAAACAGGATCAGGGTAGTTTTGCCCAAGTTGCTACAAAACGAAAACATCAAGAACACAAGTCATCTTCTTAAATAGCCTCCTCAGATCCAATTTCTCAGATGGATGGCATGCACAGTATTTAACTTATTCAAGACGAAACTGCTATCTTTTAGTCATCTTAGAGAACCCTTTTCATCTTCTGTCAGCATTGCTTCTTCTTGGTCTCATGTTTAGACAACTGTTATACCAGTTGCAGATCTATATGTTTTAAAATTGTTAAAATATCTTAAAATACTTTTCTTGTCTCTGATGAAAATATTTTTTACCTCTTAGATTAAACAAGCTGCCCGTGAAATGGCTGAGAAAGCATGGAAAGAGAGGTAAGTTCAATCATCTAATATATTTGGGGAATGTTTTGTTGCTACGAATATTTATGTAAGGCTTCAGTAGCATCAGTAAGCAAAAAGAGGTGGTGAAGGGAGTCAAGCATGACAGCAAGGATGCACCAACAACAGGAGAGATAATCTGAACATTAGGTTTAATATAGCACAAAACTTGAGCAGCAGCAGTAAAAAGGTGAAAAGGGTGGGAGTCAAATATGACAGCAAGAATATACAATAAGGTTACAGAAAACAGTAAAAATGAGAAATGGCAACAAAGGGAGTCAAGCATGACAGAAAGAATACAAAAATAGGGGAAGCAATAAGAAATTTAAGTTTGGGGTTGAACAAGGCTTCAGCTGCTGCAGAAGCAGAGTCAAGTTGTAGCCAGGATGCTCCACCAACAGCAGGAGAAGCATTAAGGACATTAAGTTCAGCTAAAAGACTGAATTATGAATGCTGATTTTCAAAGTGGAATTTTTTCAACTGGTTCCTGTTATACTTGCTCGGATAAAAAGCTGGAATTCACAAAGTTGCAATACTGTTAATATGAAAATACATAGTTGCAGTATTATTAAAATGAAAATTTACAATAGAAAATGCATTGCAAATGTTTTTTTGTTATGAAAATGCATTACAAATGATTTTACTATAAAAATGCATTACAAATGTTTTTCTTATAAAAATGCATTACAAATAATTTTACTATAAAAATGCATTGCAAATGATTTTTATTATAAAAATGCATTACATATGATTTTACCATAAAAATAAATTGCAAATGATTTACTATAAAAATGCATTACAAATGATTTTACTATAAAAATGCATTACAAATGATTTTACTATAAAAATGCATTGTAAATGATTTTACTATAAAAATGCATTGCAATTGATTTTATTCTGAAAATGAATTGTAAATGATTTTACTATGAAAATCCATTGCAAATAATTTTTATTATAAAAATGCGTGACAAATCATTTTACTCTGAAAATACATTGCAAATGATTTTACTATAAAAACACATTTTAAATTTGCATTCATAAGTTTCATAAAATAAATAGCTAAAAACTTTCATTCACTGTCATGATTACCTACATGATTCCACTGTAAAATGCAATTCAATTAATTTTTCTCTTTTTATATGGCTTATCAATGATTTTATTATAAATCAAGATTTTATTTGATTTTACTATGAAAATAATTATTTTCTGAATGAATATTATATAAACAATTATAAATTACATAAGATTTATTTTCCTGATACAACTTGTATAAAACTATTTTTAAAAAACAGCTATAAAGGGTGCGATGGATAAATCGTCTATTTTGACACAAAAATGAAAAATAACAGCAAACCTCATTTTATTAGCTAAAAGGGTGCGATGGATAATTTTCGTCTGAAAATGACACAAAGATGAAATTTAACTATCATTTTAACAGATATACAGGGTGCGATGGATAAATTTCGTCTAAATGAAAAAAAATGAAAAAACACTTTCATCTCATTTTAACAGATATACTACATGATTAAATTGTCGTCCTAAATGCAAAATTGAAAATTAATTGACATCTTTTTTTAATAGATATATTTACAAAAATTGTGGGTTATTTGAAATACTAAAGATAAATTTATTCAATTGGCATGATTGGCTTTATTTTCTAGAATGAATATTATGGAATTATAAATTATGTAAGATTTATTTTCTATGATACAAGACTTGTATAAAACTATTCCAGCTTAAAACAGATGGTGAGTGAAAACTTATCCCCATGTATAAAAAAAGAAGTGGGAGGTGGAAGAAATATATGCTATACAGTTAAAAAAGAAAGGATCGTTCACATTGGCTTGATGATCCCAACTGTGGTTGGATAATGATGAAAAATATAAAAAAACTAATCATTGAACTTTCCCTGGGTTATTTTAACAGATTATTGCAGGATGCGATGGATAAACTGTGATCAAAGTGAATGACTGTCAAAAAAAATGAAATAAAATAAACTTTGTTTTTAAACAGTTTACAGGGTGCGATGTCATAAATTAACATGGAAAATTTTCCACCAAAACCTTTTTATAAAAATATTCAAAGCATATCAAAATAGTAAAAGTTTGTTACTGGTTTTTAAAGACTTTTATGTTGTAGTAAAATGATGCAAAAAATGAAAATAAATAATGTTCATTTTAACAGTTTTTTGGTGCTAATGGATAAATAAATAAAACAAAAATGATGAAAAAATAGAAAATAAAAATATTCTCATTTTATGTTGTCTAGGAATATTGATCCAGTTATTTCACATTAGCCTAATGTTTTTTTTTTTTTTTTATACAGGTTCATTGTATATTTCCTTTGCATATTTTTTTTCAGATAGCATATCTTGAAATACCGTTTTAATACTCAGAATCCTATATCACCCACCAAAATTTCCAACGTGGTTTAAACTGATACAAGTTATGGGTTAAGAAAAATGATAGTTTATTGTCTCAATATACAGTTCAGGTGATCTTGTCTTGTACCTAACATAAAAGATTATTTCATGGCCTCTCTTTTGTTTTCTGACAGGTTACGAGAGATTCAGATGAGTGAGTATGATGCTGAAACCTACGAGAGTTTTGCAAAGAGTGTACGACGCCAAGTACATTCTCTACGAGTTATTATTGACAGTTTGCAGGTAAATGTTTGGTGCTGATAATATTGTATCAATAAAATTCATTGTATTTTGTTATTTTTTAATATATGACACCTTAAATCATCTTTTGTTACTGTGCCTTGCAGAGCAATCTGGTTAGTTGAAATTCAAAATACATTGATTACACAAACAGGAATCTATCTGTAATGCTGGACTTATTTCATGACCTCAGACAATCTCTTATTTCCTGACATCATACAATCTTATTTACTAACCTTGGACAATCTCTTATATCCTGACCTTGGACAATCCCTTATTTCCTGACCTTGGACAATCTCTTATATCCTGACCTTGGACAATCTCTTATATCCTGACCTTGGACAATCTCTTATATCCTGACCTTGGACAATCCCTTATTTCCTGACCTCAGACAATCTCTTTTCTATCAGTGACATTAGACATCATTTACTGACCTTGACAACAGTTTCTTATATCCTGATTGGATAATTCCTTATTTATAATGACCTTAGAAAAAAAAATTATTTTGACCATTTATATTATTTACTAACTTTTGACAATCTCTTATATCCTGACCTTGGACAATCTCTTATATCCTGAGGTTTTGACAATCTCTTGAACCTGACCTCTTAACGATCTTAGTTTTCTCAGGTCCTTGGACAATCTCTTATATCCTGACCTTGGATAATCTTTTATTTCCTGAACTTGTATTATCTCTTATTTCCTGATATCAGACTTTTCTTCCTGTTTTCAATAAATTTTTTATCATAAAATAATTTACAATGTATTTCTGTAGGAAAATTGTTTGCAATGCATAATAGCTTTTCTATCAGTAATATTAGCATCAATTACTGACCACTGACAATACCTTTCGGATTTTTCAATACAATCTTATCACATAATTTACAATGTATTTCTGTAAGAAAAAAAAATCATTGTCCATTTATATTATTAGTCATGCTTGCATTCATTCCTGACCATTGACAATCCCTTTCTTCCTAGGTTTTGAGAAGCTTGGAACCACCTCTTAATTGTAGTTGTTCCCAGGTCCTGATAATTAGCAATGCATTTCCATTATACATATAATAGCCCTATTCTATCAGTAATGCTTGCATTCATTCCTGACCACTGACAATCCCTTTCTTCCTGATTTTCAATGCATTTTTATAGTAAAATCATTAGCAATTCATTTACATTATACATATAATAGCCCTATTCTATCAGTAATGCTTGCATTCATTCCTGACCACTGACAATCCCTTCCTTCCTGATTTTCAATGCATTTTTATAGTAAAAACATTAGCAATGCATTTACATTATACATATAATAGCCCTATTCTATCAGTAATGCTTGCATTCATTCCTGACCACTGACAATTCCTTCCTTCCTGATTTTCAATGCTTTTTTATAATAAAATCATTAGCAATGCATTTCCATTATATATACAATAGCCCTATTCTATCAGTAATGCTTGCATTCATTCCTGACCACTGACAATCCCTTTCTTTCCTGATTTTCAATGCATTTTTATAGTAAAATCATTAGCAATTCATTTACATTAAACATATAATAGCCCTATTCTATCGGTAATGCTTGCATTCAATCCTGACCACTGACAATCCCTTTCCTTCTAATATTCAATGCAGTTATACAATAAAATTGTTTATGCTTTTCTGAAAAAAAAATGGCCAAGATGAGAACGCAAACCTGAAAGAATCAATTTATATGTAACAAAATCATCTGCCATTCATGTTTTTATTGTCTGTCTTAGGCCAAGGGTAAAGAACGACAATGGTTGAAACACCAGACATATGGAGATCTTGATGATACAAAACTAATTGAAGGGATCACCGGAGAAAAATCCATTTATAAACGAAGGGGGGAACAAGAACCAGAGGTAAGTGATTGGTCATCAGTAAATCATATTGGAGTATGTGGCTCACCTCAGTTGATGGTAAAATAAACTTTGCATTCAGTGTCCATCAGAGAGGCCAGGTGCATCAGCAGTTTGACCTGAGGTATGTGTTTGTATGCTAAATATATAATAGGTATGTTGTAGGGAGAGTCCTGGGATTAGACTGAGAGTAGGACAAGTAGGGAATTTAACAGACTAACATTACGAAGTTGCTAACTTAAATTCAATATTTAGTTGCATGTGACATTCAAAAGAAGTTGCCAGTGATAAAAATCAAAATTTACTAGCACCAAAATTTCAAAAAGTAGCCTCAAATGTTGTAAGTCGTGAAATTTAAAAATTAGTATCATTGGTCTTATAAAAGTATAAATGTCAGAACATTGTCGTCTGATTCGCACTCCTGCCTGTTTTTTTGAGCAGGAATAGAGCTTTTTCCATTGTTTACTGTTTAAAAATAGGTTTCTGGTTCCTTCTAAAGTTTCCTTATTTTCTTTCACTTCCAGTAGGCCCTTACATCTTAGCGGTATTATCACCTTGCATTGAATTGATTAAAACAAAAGGTACAAAATTCAAAATTCAGTTGCACCAAGATTTCAAAAGTAGCTTCAAAGGTCACTATTAGCGGAATTCAAGATTTTGTAGGACTAAATTTCAAAAACAATCCCAATATAGTAAAATTCAAAATTTTGTAGTTGTGGGCTTTCAAAGCAAGTAGTTAAATTAAAAAATTAGTATGGCTGGTCTTTCAAAAATATAAACATCAAAGTCCTGTCATCTGGTTTACAATCCTCTCTGATTTTTTGAGCAGAAGTAGATGTTTATCCCTTGTTTCTCATTCCTTCTAATATTTCTTCAATTTTATCCGTCTAATATCTAAACTTATCATTTTAATAATCAATAGGAGTAGATAGGTTTGCCTATCGTCCGGTTCACACTCCTCCCCGGTCTTTTGAACAGGAGTAGAGGATTATCCCTTGTTTCCTGTTTATCATTGGGTTTCCAGTTCCTTCCAAAGTCTACTTCACTTCCATACTTCTAATGTCTCCAATTAAATTATAAAATTTTATTTATTGTTTATTTATTTATTTTTTCTCAACAATAGTAGAAAGGTTTGCCTATTGTCCGGTTCACACTCTTCCCTGGTCTTTTGAACAGGAGTAGAGGTTTATCCCTTGTTTCTGGTTTAGGATTGGGTTTCTAGTTCCTCCTAAAGTTTTTTCTTTCTCTTTCAATTCCAGTAGACCCTTGTGTCTTAGTGGCATTATCACCTTGCTTGGGGTGAATTGATTTAAAAAAAAAAAAAGTAGGGTTTCATGGTGTAGTGGTGGTAGCCCAAACCTAATTGGTTTTTAATTCAGACCTGTTCATCACCTAGATTGGTTGGTAACCAAAGCTAGAATCTACCCTGCAAAATTTAAAATTCAGTTACACCAAGATTTCACAAGCAGCCATAAAAGTCACAAGTGGTGAAGTTCGAAATTCTGTAGCAGTTGTGGAAGTATATAGAAAGGAGTATTGACAGCTTTTATAGATTATTAAAAAAGTGTTTGATAAAGTAAGTCACAGAAAAAAATGTTAGAACTGCTCATTAACCTCGACATATTTGGGAAGGATATTAAAATAATCCAGAACCTATCCTGGCAGCAAACTGTACCCATACAGATACAAAATGAATTCAGTTAATATACAAAAATAGAAATGTGTGTAAGACAAGAATGTGTCTTCTCACCAGATTATTTGTCATATTCAGTGAAGCAATCCTGAGACGCATCCAGCATCAAGGCCTCTGATCGGGAGGTTTTGAGGTGCGTTGAAACACATCTTAATTCTTTTTGTTCCCAGGTCTACCCTCACCCAGTGTGGTAGCACCTGCTAGGGACCCAGCTAGGGACAAATAATGAACCCCCAAACTGAGATCAAAACACTATGAAAAAATGAAAAAAGATTTTTATAGTAAAAGTACCAGCAATACTTTTGACTCTTAAAAAAACACACACTTAAAAAGTATGTCAATGAAACCTGATCTACAAAGAAAACATTCTATTCATATGAATCCATCTTAAAAATCTTGTTGGCATTAAATAACTCATTGAGGTTGATATGCCATAAAACAAAACAAAAACCAAACCAATCCTGAGACAATTAGAAGTCCTACCAGGATTCATTATTAGCAGCCACAATCTTAACATTAGGTATGCAAATGACGCAGTGTTGATAATAGATATAGAAAGGAAACTACAAGAACAGCTTTAGATGGTAGTGAAGAAAAGCAAGAAGAAAGGACTAAACATCAATTTAAGAAATTAGAATGTCAGCAAAATGAAAAGCCCAACATACAAATTATAAGTTGTTGATGCCAAAATCAAACAAGTACAAAAATTTAAATATCTTGGAAGAACTTTAACAAAGAAGGGAAAGTAAGACACTAAAATCTGAAGGTGCATTGGCTTAGGGAAAGATGCCTTTAAAAATCTGAGCAAAGTATTAAGAAACAGGAAAATTTCATTATGCACACACACATGCAAACAAGAACATTCTTATAACTAGTTTCATGTGTTTTCCTTTTGTCACATGTAATACCTGGGTTAATACATGCATAGTCATTTGTTTTATATTTATTGTTTTGTGTTACTAATTTTTTTACCTGGATTCATACTGTGTGTGCCAATATTGTTTGCAGGATAAATTTTTTAGTAGCCTGTAAATATTTACTCTCGAAGGTGTTGATTCCCACAACATAATGGTGACTGATATTTTACCCACACAGACTAACATCCTGCAAAAAGTGTACTGAACCATAGCGTTATGATAAAAAGCAACAATAATGAGATGGAATAAAACTAGTAATAAAATAATAGAAATAATGAAGACTGCATAGAGTCAGGGTGTTGGGATAAAAAGCAACAATAATAGTTACAAAAGTGTATTAATAAAAACATCTCATCTAACAGAATTCCAGTAAAATAACTAAAATTTTTTAATATGCATAATTAAAAATTACAATGTATATTTTCTATGACATTTCAGCTTGGCACACCTCAAGAATTGCCCAAGAAACTACGCCTTGTTGTAGATGTTTCTGGAAGCATGTATCGCTTTAATGGCCATGATGGACGACTGGAACGTGAAATGAGTGCTGTGTTGATGGTAATGGAAGCCTTAGAGGGCTACGAAAATAAATTTAAGGTATGCTATTCAGAAATTATTATGCAAACTTACAGCTTGTGTGTTTGGTAATCCTTTGGTAAACAATGCGAGACAAACTTTTTAGATTATTAAAAAAAAGTGTGTATGGCGGTAAATGGAAATTATTATTGATTTTTCACTAGGATTTCTTTCATCTTCATTTCAATTGCTTTATTTACACTTGTAGCATTAGTAATATTAGTAGTAATATTATCTGCAATTTTGATGAGATCAAGCATTGTCAAGCATTCTTCATTTTTCACTAGGATTTCTTTCATCTTCATTTCAATTGCTTTATTTCCACTAGTAGTATTAGTAGTAGTAATATTATCTGCAATTTTCATTAGATCAAGCATTGTCAAGCATTCTTTATTTTTCACTAGGATTTCTTTCATCTTCATTTCAATTGCTTTATTTCCACTAGTAGTATTAGTAGTAGTAATATTATCTGGAATTTTCATTAGATCAAGCATTGTCAAGCATTCTTCATTTTTCACTAGAATTTCTTTCATCTTCATTTCAATTGCTTTATTTCCACTAGTAGTATTAGTAGTAGTAATATTATCTGCAATTTTGATTAGATCAAGCATTGTCAAGCATTCTTTATTTTTCACTAGGATTTCTTTCATCTTCATTTCAATTGCTTTATTTCCACTAGTAGTATTAGTAGTAGTAATATTATCTGCAATTTTGATGAGATCAAGCATTGTCAAGCATTCTTCATTTTTCACTAGGATTTCTTTCATCTTCATTTCAATTGCTTTATTTCCACTAGTAGTATTAGTAGTAGTAATATTATCTGCAATTTTCATTAGATCAAGCATTTGCATTCTTTATTTTTCACTAGTTTCTTTCATCTTCATTTCAATTGCTTTATTTCCGCTAGTAGTATTAGTAGTAGTAATATTATCTGCAATTTTCATTAGATCAAGCATTGTCAAGCATTCTTCATTTTTCACTAGGATTTCTTTCATCTTCATTTCAATTGCTTTATTTCCACTAGTAGTATTAGTAGTAGTAATATTATCTGCAATTTTCATTAGATCAAGCATTGTCAAGCATTCTTTATTTTTCACTAGGATTTCTTTCATCTTCATTTCAATTACTTTATTTCCACTAGTAGTATTAGTAGTAGTAATATTATCTGCAATTTTCATTAGATCAAGCATTGTCAAGCATTCTTCATTTTTCACATATTAGGATTTCTTTCATCTTCATTTCAATTGCTTTATTTCCACTAGTAGTATTAGTAGTAGTAATATTATCTGCAATTTTGATTAGATCAAGCATTGTCAAGCATTCTTTATTTTTCACTAGGATTTCTTTTCATCTTCATTTCAATTACTTTATTTCCACTAGTAGTATTAGTAGTAGTAATATTATCTGCAATTTTCATTAGATCAAGCATTGTCAAGCATTCTTTATTTTTTCACTAGGATTTCTTTCATCTTCATTTCAATTACTTTATTTCCACTAGTAGTATTAGTAGTAGTAATATTATCTGCAATTTTCATTAGATCAAGCATTGTCAAGCATTCTTTATTTTTCACTAGGATTTCTTTCATCTTCATTTCAATTACTTTATTTCCACTAGTAGTATTAGTAGTAGTAATATTATCTGCAATTTTCATTAGATCAAGCATTGTCAAGCATTCTTTATTTTTCACTAGGATTTCTTTCATCTTCATTTCAATTGCTTTATTTCCACTAGTAGTATTAGTAGTAGTAATATTATCTGCAATTTTCATTAGATCAAGCATTGTCAAGCATTCTTTATTTTTCACTAGGATTTCTTTCATCTTCATTTCAATTACTTTATTTCCACTAGTAGTATTAGTAGTAGTAATATTATCTGCAATTTTCATTAGATCAAGCATTGTCAAGCATTCTTTATTTTTCACTAGGATTTCTTTCATCTTCATTTCAATTGCTTTTATTTCCACTAGTAGTATTAGTAGTAGTAATATTATCTGCAATTTTCATTAGATCATTGTCAAGCATTCTTCATTTTTCACTAGGATTTCTTTCATCTTCATTTCAATTGCTTTTATTTCCACTAGTAGTATTAGTAGTAGTAATATTATCTGCAATTTTCATTAGATCAAGCATTGTCAAGCATTCTTCATTTTCACTAGGATTTTTTTCATCTTCATTTCAATTGTTTTATTTCCACTAGTAGTATTAGTAGTAGTAATATTATCTGCAATTTTCATTAGATCAAGCATTGTCAAGCATTCTTCATTTTTCACTAGGATTTCTTTCATCTTCATTTCAATTGCTTTATTTCTACTAGTAGTATTAGTAGTAGTAATATTATCTTGAATTTTTGTCAATTCTCTCTCTCCATATATATATATATATATATATATATATATAATGTTAATGGTCAGAGTTGAATCAGACCAGGAAACAGTTGTATAAAAAGTGCTCAATATAAGTGTGAAAAAAATAAAGGTAAATGTTAGATGTTGAACTTTAAACTTTAAAAATTAGGAGGTCAGATAAAATACGTGACCTTGGTTTCAACCTCACGTTTTCATCAGGTTAATTCTATCAACTTATTATCCAATGCTTTTTTTAAAATAAAACAAACCAAAGAATGCTACATTATTATTTTTCAAAAATAAGCAAATGCACTATGGTCAAAAGCATAATGTTGGGTGTAATAGAATTGAAGACAGGCCAGGAGAAGGAAGAAGGAAAAAAAAGAAAGCAAGTGTATCATAAACGTATAAAGAAAACGAGTAGAAAAGAATAGCAAGTTTCAAGTAAATTTAAGGTAGGGTGTCTTGTAAATATAGAGAAGGATAGGGGTGGGGAAGCAAACATATTGTAAATGTAACAGTGAGGTTTAAATTTTTCTTTTCTGGCCTTATATTCACTTAATAAAAATTTTTTAATATGAAGGCAAGGACTTAAGATTTCAGATCTCTGGTTTAAAAGGTTTTTTGGATCTGGAACTGTCATAATCGCTAATTTCTCATGTTGACAAAGGTAGAAAATGCAGGTATGATTGCTGTATGGTTTTACCTTTTTAAAAATTTTCCCCCTTACGAACGGGTCTCTTTTAGATTCCACATATCGCTAGCAATTTTGGTGGAGTATCTAAGATTTGCTAGCTTAAACGAAGATCTATGATTATGCCATCCATGCTTCTGTACAACCTCAGTTAATTTGTATTAATGAGCAGTTAGCAGTTATGTTAAAAGTGGCTCTGACAAAATCCAATTTAGTAATGAATGATAGTGATGGCTAAATTCACTTCTGAATTTTATTTTGCCATGCTGGGAGTTTTCCTGAAAGAAATTTTTCTTTATTGATTTTCTTTTTTCTTCTTTTACTTTTGGTTTCAGTATGAAATTGTTGGCCATTCTGGAGAAAGTTATGACACATCTTTCATTCGAGCTGATAAAGTGCCTAAAAATAATAAAGAAAGATTGACAGTGCTTAAGGTAAAATTTCTTTCTTTCATTTCACTCTTTGACTGCTTAGATGTTGTTCTCATACTTGAAAATATTCTGCTACACACACACACACATACACACAGATTTCCTGTCCGCCATGTTTAAAATACACCAACTGCGTATCTGAACAATGTTTACATATAGACTCAAGTATAAACTCAGTGAATAGATTCAAGTACATACTTGACCAGTATTTATCTAAGGTCTGTAGTATAAGCTCAAACATTTTATACAAAGAGGCTCATGTATAACCCTGACCATTCTTTACCAAAAGGGTGTTTCATTAAGACGGATCAAAGTCAGCAGTCAATAAATCAGTGTTATTGGTGAAAATTTATTTATTTCTCTATTGGATCATGTTATCTAAGACATGGCAATTATGTGTGGAAAATAATATCGCCCAAACGTCCGACAGGGATTTGGCGGCACACCTCCACTCGATGGTCCAAATTTATGATGATGTCTCTGCATAGTTGCTCCTCGATCTCACCAATATGCCTTATTATCTCATCCTTCAGCTGTTGAATTGTTGTTGGCTTGTTGGCATAGACCTTACTTTTGAGAGGGAGAAATCTAAAGGCACCAGGTCACATGATCATGGTGGCCAACTGACTTTGCTGTTTCAAGAGATGATGTGACCTGGGAACTTCTCATTGCATTTCTGTTTGAACATTCATTTTCGTAATAGGCTTCAATAACTTTAACATGTTGTTTGATTGTTAATCTTTCCATGGTTGAAATTGCCAAAGACTTAAGTTGTTAAATGTGAAAGAAAAAGAAAAATTCATTAGACACTTAAACTTAATTCCCATTTAAAATCAGTCCAAGTTTTATACACCCTTTATAACCCCAGCTTACCTATAGCCTCAAGTATAAACCCAATCAATATTTGCCTATAGAGTCAAGTACATATTTGAACAATATTTGCCTACAGTCTCTAGTATAAGCCCAACCATTGAGTTAGTGATTTGAAGACCTCAGTTTTCAGCCTGAATTGGAATTTCGACCCAAATCAAACATTTGGCCGGAACAGGACATATAGCCTAAATCAAGTTTTGAAGTTCCATGGAATGAATTGAGGAATTCAAAGTTATTTCTTCAAAATTATCTGAAGCTGAACTAGAGGGCACTTTAATTTTGGGTCCAATTTGGCCTCCACAGTAGCTAGCTTTAAAATCCGTACAGTGTATGGCTTTTAAGCTATTATATAATAATAATAATAATAGTAAACAAAATGAATGACGTGACTATTCCAATATTTTGCAACAGAGAGAAGAGTGTCATTTTAGAAAAGAAAATGAACAGACACAAATATTGCAAACAAGATGATTGAGAAAATTTATAAAATACTCTGATTTGAAAGTGGAGATGGCAAGATTGATTGCAACACAGTGAAATGATTAATATATATATATATATATAAATATAGATAACTAGACTCGTTTCGAAAAACCCTCGAATTTTTGATTTGCTAATCAAATCAATCTCGAGGGAAAAAAAGGTTTTAAAAAAAGAAAGAGCTACAAACATGAATTTCTGCCGACAAAAAAATCGCACAGATGCAGGTCTGAAGCCCAAAAAAAAAACCCGATACGAGTAACAACTAACTAACAAAAGAGCTCAATACAACCGTAGAGAGCAGACCTAGATACACCTAGTGAGCCAGACAAACCTACCTAGGTTTCACCTAAACAGATCGTCAGGGAAAGTTTGGCTAACGAGGCAAAGAGAAACACATATTTATAGGTGATAGCTAAAATCATACTATGTAATATGTGTTTCTCTTTGCCTCATTAGCCAAACTTTCCCTGACGATCCATTTAGGTGAAACCTAGGTAGGTTTGTCTGGCTCACTAGGTGTATCTATATATATATATATATATATTTATGCAATTTTTCTAACCAACTCTCTGTTTATCTCTCATTCTATATATATATATATATATATATATATACGTAAAAGAAATTTTTGTTTGAAAGATTCTGTACAAAAACTTATTGTATAGATTATAATGAGGATTGGAAAAAAATATTTAATATAGTGATATTTATTTATAATCTATGAATTTTTACAGAGAAGAATTAAAACTTTGTTACTTACAATCGTATTTTCAGTGTTTTTTTTCTTAGAAAAATAATTTGTTGTTTTCCTTTTTTTTTTAAAACTTTTTCATTTTAACCAGTTTCGCTTAGCTTTTCAAAAAGTTTTTAACTGTTTCTATCTCCATGTGTTGATGCTTATGTTTTGTGCCAATGAAAAAAATGAAAATCAAGGGGCGTAACTGGCTATAGGTGTCATTTATGGTAAGGAGAATTTGGTAGAATCTATTTATGCAATGAATTAAGTATGTATTTGAAATTGTTGATGAAAAATATTTCTTTATTAATCTGTCTTTGTTCAGTGGTTCTGTAGTATAATTGGTAGAATGGGAAGACACTAAAATTTGGCAGATTTTGTCCTCTGCATTTCTCTATATGTTGGCTAAGGGGTATTTTTCTGGTGTAGGGGTCCCTAATTTGTTGGTGATAAACTGTCATTCTTTGCTGGAGTGAATGGCCAGTTTTGCTAATGTAATGTGTATGGAAACCTTTGCATGTAATTATGTATATTAAATTCTCTGAGTCGCATGAGAAATCATTTTTAATTCTTAATTTTGATTTGTCTTTGAACTAAAATTCATGGCCCTCTAATAGGTAGCTGCATAATATATATATATATATATATATATATATATATATTATAGGCCAAAGGTGTGAGGTTACCCAAAGAATTACCTAAAGAATCACTTAAAAATTGAAGCTTTCATGCCTTTTTTAAAACTAGTTTACTTGCTCATTTCAAGACAGAGGTACTTTCTCTCTTTGAAGGATTTTATTCTATATTCAGCAACAGCAGCAGCAATAATAATAATAATCTGATCAGCGAATGCAAAATGTTGGCTCAAAAAAATATAAGAGGTGCTATGATAAGGTATGCCTTTCTGAACATTGTTTATTATGTTGAAAGTATGGATACCAAATTACAAAACATTGGCATGCATCTTTCAGAAAAATTGAAGAAGTTGGAAAACCCACAATATTCTGGGACGATGATTTTCAGACAGACAGAGTGATACAACATTGCCGTCCAGATGTTATTGTGCGAGATAAAGCACTAGGAACTGTCATATTATCGATGTTGCCAAATGACCCAAATATAGCAAAAAAAGGAGATTGAGAAAATTACAAAACTACTCTGATTTGAAAGTTAAAGACAGCAAGGTGGTTTGGAATGCAGGGAAGGAGTGTCAAAGTGATTCCAGTAATGATTGGAGCACTGGGGTCATTGCCATTGAAACTGTCTGACGTTTTTTACCATGTGGAGATACTGTACCAACTTGGAATCCTCCAAAACATTGGAGGCTTACTGCCACATCATATGCAAACACACTGGTCCCCATACGATCACCAAAGTTAAGCAACATTAAGCCAGGCTAGATAGGTGACCGCTTGGGAATACCAGCTGTTGTATCTCGGATTTTCAGGTGGTATAATGGATAATGATTCAGAATTGTTAATCAGAGAGCCGAGTTCTAATTCTAGGTGGGTTTGTTATATATTTTTATGAACAAATCTGCTTGGGAAGGGTATTAATCCAACTGTTATCCCCCCAGCTATAGGTTAATTAGTAAGAACTGTATCACTAAAAGCATTATCTCAAAAAAAATAAATTCCATGCAAAATATTTAGATTTCTGCATTAAATAACCTATAGAGGTAGATATACCACTAAGAAAAAGCAAGCAAGCAGCCAACCCATCAAAAATTGCTTCTTTTGGGCACTATGCATATTTTGAGGAAAGCGTTGTCTGACTGAGGTCCTTGATGTGACGTGACAGGTACTTTAATGTACCTGGTCTATTCAAAAACATACACTGACTAAACATTAGTAATATTAATAATATAGTGGAATCATAGTAATTTTTTAAATTAAAAAAAAGATCTCTAAAAAGTAGGAAAATATTTTAAGACACAATATTTTTTGGGTAATAATAATAATAATAATAATAATAATAATAAATCATTCGATATATACAGGAAATAATTTTCAGAATAAAGATCTGTAAAATATGAAAACACTTTTGATAGTCCAATTTTTTATAATAATAATATAGTCTTTAGATATATACAGGAAATAATTTTTGGAATAAAGGTCTGTAAAAAATGAAAATACTTTTGATACACCAAATATTTTATAATAATAATATAGTCTTTAGATATATACAGGAAATAATTTTTGGAATAAAGGTCTGTAAAAAATGAAAAATACTTTTGATACACCAAATATTTTATAATAATAATATAGTCTTTAGATATAAACAGGAAATAAATTTGGGAATAAAGGTCTGTAAAAAATGAAAATACTTTTGATACACCAAATATTTTATAATAATAATATAGTCTTTAGATATAAACAGGAAATAAATTTGGGAATAAAGGTCTGTAAAAAATGAAAATACTTTTGATACACCAAATATTTTATAATAATAATATAGTCTTTAGATATATAGAGGAAATGAATTTGGGAATAAAGGTCTGTAAAAAATGAAAATACTTTTGATACACCAAATATTTTATAATAATAATATAGTCTTTAGATATATAGAGGAAATGAATTTTGGAATAAAGGTCTGTAAAAATGAAAATACTTTTGATACAACCAAATATTTTATAATAATAATATGGTCTTTAGATATAAACAGGAAATAAATTTGGGAATAAAGGTCTGTAAAAATGAAAATACTTTTGACACCAAATATTTTATAATAATAACATAGTCTTTAGATATAAACAGGAAATAAATTTGGGAATAAAGGTCTGTAAAAATGAAAATACTTTTTGATACACCAAATATTTTATAATAATAATATAGTCTTTAGATATATAGAGGAAATGAATTTTGGAATAAAGGTCTGTAAAAAATGAAAATACTTTTGATACACCAAATATTTTATAATAATAATATAGTCTTTAGATTTATAGAGGAAATGAATTTTGGAATAAAGGTCTGTAAAAAATGAAAATACTTTTGATACACCAAATATTTTATAATAATAATATAGTCTTTAGATATAAACAGGAAATAAATTTGGGAATAAAGGTCTGTAAAAAATGAAAATACTTTTGATACACCAAATATTTTATAATAATAACATAGTCTTTAGATATAAACAGGAAATAAATTTGGGAATAAAGGTCTGTAAAAAATGAAAATACTTTTGATACACCAAATATTTTATAATAATAATATAGTCTTTAGATATATAGAGGAAATGAATTTTGGAATAAAGGTCTGTAAAAAATGAAAATACTTTTTGACCAAATATTTTATAATAATAATATAGTCTTTAGATATATAGAGGAAATGAATTTTGGAATAAAGGTCTGTAAAAAAATGAAAATACTTTTGATATAACAAATATTTTATAATAATAATATAGTCTTTAGATATAAACAGGAAATAAATTTGGGAATAAAGGTCTGTAAAAAATGAAAATACTTTTTGATACACCAAATATTTTATAATAATAACATAGTCTTTAGATATAAACAGGAAATAAATTTGGGAATAAAGGTCTGTAAAAAATGAAAATACTTTTGATACACCAAATATTTTATAATAATAATATAGTCTTTAGATATAAACAGGAAATAAATTTGGGAATAAAGGTCTGTAAAAAATGAAAATACTTTTGATACACAAAATATTTTATAATAATAATATAGTCTTTAGATATAAACAGGAAATAAATTTGGGAATAAAGGTCTGTAAAAATGAAAATACTTTTTACACCAAATATTTTATAATAATAATATAGTCTTTAGATATATAGAGGAAATGAATTTTGGAATAAAGGTCTTTACAGACCTTTATTCCAATTATGAAAATACTTTTGATACACCAAATATTTTATAATAATAATATGGTCTTTAGATATATAGAGGAAATGAATTTTGGAATAAATGTCTGTAAAAAATGAAAATACTTTTGATACACCAAATATTTTATAATAATAATATGGTCTTTAGATATATAGAGGAAATGAATTTTGGAATAAATGTCTGTAAAAAATGAAAATACTTTTGATACACCCTAATGTCCCCTCTATATTTTTTTCACTTGGTCATAATAACATTGTGCAAAGGAATCTCTTGACACTTAAATCTCTTAATGATGTTAAGTGTTTTTATAATTCGTATTATAATTCGTATTTCTTGCTGCTAAATAGTTGCTTGGTTGTTTTATGTTATTTTTTCTGCATTTCTTATCAAGTGTTTTTACAATTTTCTTTCCAGACAATGCACGCTCATTCACAATTTTGTCTGAGTGGAGACCATACACTGGAAGCCACAAAACACAGTATCAATTCTGTGCAAGAAGAAGAGGCAGATGAATATTTTGTTATCATCTTAAGTGATGCCAATTTTGACCGATATGGCATTCGGCCACAGACTTTTGCCAAATTACTTACTGAAAATGAAGAGGTGAATGCCTTTGCCATTTTTATTGGATCCCTTGGAGACCAAGCTGTCAGGTAAGACCAGCTCTCTTTCTACTTTTATTCTTGATTTAGGCCGAATAGAATGTATCTCTTTGAATAAGTGCCACCTACAACCTGCATCAAAATATAATTTTTAAATAAGCACTCTCTCAAATATGTGCCACCTGTGTATTCATTAATTCTTTAGAAATTGCTTTGTTTATGTTAGATTATGAAGCTGAACACAGATGAATGGCTGAGACAGTTGAGAGCGTGTTGCATCTAATGATAGTTTCTCCTGCAAAGGGGGACATAGGTTCAAATCCTGCTGGAAGCCTCATATTTTTCTTTGCTAAGATTTTTCAAATATTCAGGCTGGTAGACAAAAATAAATAATTCACACTATTTACATTGTTTGGACTGTTGCCCTCATCTTTGTCAATGATGAATGCTGTTGAATGCTTTAAATAAAGGACTAAAATAAAGGGTTTGATTCAAAATTCCATTCATCTGATCAAGGCCGGTGCATACAATGGCTGAAACGTTGTGAATATGACAATAAAGAGGTGAAGAACAGTCTGAACAATGTAAATAGTGTAAATAGTTACAATACCTCATCTCAGAAATATTGACAGATCCTGAAGAAAGTCGGCGTGTACAATGGCCAAAATGTTGTGAATATGGCAGTATAGATAAGGACAACAGCCCGAACAATGTAAATAGTGTAAATAGTTACAATACCTCATCTCAGAAGTATAGACAAATCCTGAAGAAGGCTGGAGTATATAATGGCCGAAACATTGTGAATATGACAATAAAGTTGAGGAGAACAGTCCGAACAATGTAAATAGTGTAAATAGTTACTATACCTCATCTCAGAAATATAGACAGATCCTGAAGACAACCAGAGCATACAATGGTTGAAACATTGTGAATATGGCAATAAAGATGAGGACAACAGTCCGAACAATGTAAATAGTGTAAATAGTTACAATACCTCATCTCAGAAATATAGACAGAAAATAAATATACTGTTTCATTAATAAATGAAGTGTTTCATTAAATATTGGTAGGTGATTTTGCAGTGAAAAATGTATAATTTTGTGCATGCAAATACAATATTGTAACAGTTGACAAGAATAAAGTATGGAATCCTATATTGTAACTTTAACCTTTAGAAGAAAATTAAATTTACCAAAGCAGAAAAGAAATACTGATCATAAGGGTTGTTCAAAATGTTCTAAACCTCACCCAGGAGAATACGGAGAAACAAGACAATTTTTCACTATTTTTCAATATAGTCCCCCCCCCTCACCTTTACATTAATGCACTTGGCCCAGCAATGCTTCCCAATATGGAAGAAGGTGACATCCTGGTTCTCCAAAAACTCTTCCACAGCACATACGATCTCATCATTGTTTCCAAAATGTGATCACACAGGTGGGATTTAAATTTAAGAAACAAGAAGAAGTCAGATGGAGCTAAGTCTGGTGAGTAAGGGGAATGAGGTAGCAATTCAAAGACACCGTTGGTTGCTTCAGCTACTGCAACCTATTAACAGTATTAACAGGTGCATTAACCTGATGCAAGAGTGCACCTGCCTTAAGCTTCCTTCTGCATTTTGACTTGTTCTCTTCAGTTGTTTTAATTCTAATATATAGTACTGTGCATTGTAGAATATTGGTTAGCTTGCCAGTGGTCTGACACACAAGTAGGCAAGTGTAGCCAAAGCTAAAAACTGACTTGAGTCATTTCATGGAGAAATATATGGGTGAATAAAGACCACTCATGCAAATGTATTGGGCAGGTCCATTCTAGAAAAATGGACCAACCTAACTGGTGTATTAGGCCCTCTCCTATAAAATGAGGTAAAATCAACTGGCTTGCTTTACAAGGAAACAGAAGGCGGCAGCCATGTTGGCAGGTAAGTCACTTGACTTCTACATCCATTAATAGTTTTTCCCTTTTCCAGGTACTCTATCATGATTACACCTTCAGTATCCCAGAAAACAGAAGCCATCATGTGTGTCAATGGACTTTCTTGAACTTCTTCGGGGATGGAGAACCAGAGCATTTTCAGAGTTTGCTTTGAATCTTCGATTCAGGTTCGAAGTGGTGAACCCAGGTTTTATTTTGAGATACTAATCTGTTGTTGAAGTTCTCAGGGTTAACCTGGAAGTGAGTCAGAAGTGTCCTGGAAATGTCAACCCTTTTCAGCTTCTGCTCTTGTGTCAGCATTCTTGTCACTCATCTTGCAGACGGCTTGCTCATCCCCAAGATGTCAGTTCAAACAGTATGAACCAAACCAAAACTAATGCCTATGTACTTGGCTGTCTGCTGGACAGTAAGTCGTCTGTCATCCAAAACCATACAGTGAATGGCATCAACTTGTTCATCAGTGGTCGAGATTTTTTGGACAAACTGACCGAGGGTCATCTGTGCTCTCTCTCTATCGCTTATAAGGGTTGTTCAAAAAGTTCTAAGCCTTGCCCTGAAGGAGTTTGAGAAACAAGACAGTTTTTCACTATTTTTCAATATCACCCCTAACCTCAGTGCAATTGGTCCAATGGTGCTTAATCATTGCAATCCCTATCACTCATCCATGGCACATATGATCTCATCATTGTTTCAAAAATGATGACAAAACAGGTGAATTTGAGTTTAGGAAAGAAGTCATATAGAGCTAAGTTTGGTGCGTAAGGGGGATGTGGTAGCAATTCAAAGCCACATTTGGCTGCTTTAGCTACTGCCAACTGCGCAATGTGAACGGGAACATTATCCTGGAGCAAGAGCACACCTGCCCTCAGCTTCCCTCTGCGTTTCAACTTGATTGCTTCCTTCAGTTTTCTTAATTCTGATGCATAGACGTGGCATATTTTATTTTTGTTGCCTGACAAAAAAGACAATCAATTTCTTAGCTTTACATGGTATTAACATCTTAAAAAAAACAGATTACTTCTTGTTAATCAATCATTATTGTAATCCAGTCTGTTGTTAACTGGGGCAAAGGATAGCTTGTTAATTTTAACGCTTCCAAAACTAAACTGTTCTCTATTAATCAGCTGAGACAACTCTCTCTGCTTTCCATCACTGTGGCTGATGCTGACCTCCAGGAGAGTGACTGGCTGTGCCTTCTTAGCTAATGTTTTAGGCTGACATGAAGTGGAAAGATTATATTGAGTCCATTGATGATTCAGCTTTCAGGAAGTTTGGTTTATTGTGTCAAGCTAGATGATTTTTTCTCCTGAATCATTCTCATTCTGAAGATGTCAGTTAAGACAGTATGAACCGAAGCAGAACTAATGCCTATGGACTTGGCTGTCTGCTGGACAGTAAGTCGTCTGTCATCCCAAACCATATGGTGAATGACATCAACTTGTTCATCAGTGGTCGAGGTTTTTCGGACGACCTGACCGAGGGTCATCTGTGCTGTTCCTCTTTCGCATGAATTCTGCAGCCTACATCTTCACAGTTGCATAGGAAGGGGACTCCTCAGCAAGTGTCTGGGTCATGTCCTCATGGATTTCCTTGGGTACCATACCTTTCTTCTGCAGATACTTTATGACTGCTCGGGTCTCTGTTTTGTCCTTTTCTAGACTTGTCTCACACCTCTCACCTTTGTATGGGCCTCAACTGTGTAGAAGTCAAGTGACTTACCTGCCAACATGGCTGCCACCTTCTGTTTCCTTGTAAAGCAAGCCAGCTGATTTTACCTCATTTTATAGGAGAGTGCCTAATACACCAGTTAGGTTGGTCCATTTTGCTAGAATGGACCTGCCCAATACATTTGCATGAGTGGTCTTTATTCACCCATATATTTCTCCATGAAATGACTAAAGTCAGTTTTTAGCTTTGGCTACACTTGCCTACTTGTGTGTTAGACCACTGGCAAGCTAACCAATATTCTACAACCTGCACAGAAATTAAGACAAAAATCTGAATTATTTTTTCTAGTGTTATAAGAAGTGATAGTGTGTTTCCATAACAAAAATATTCAGCCATGGCTCTTTTTTTCTGGGTGAGGCTTGGAACTTTTTGAACAACCCTCACGCATTTGTATCAATAGGTACATATAAATGAAGCAAACTGATATAAAACAATCAGTAATGGTGAGTTGGCTTGTTTTCAATATTTTATTACGAGTAAAAAATTTCATGCCAAGCCGACTCAGGCACTTCCAACACCCTAGCCTACCTGTTCAGCACTTGGTTGTCTCCCATCCATAATACAGCTGTATTAGTCCCAGGGTACTTTTTTGGTAAATTTAAAAATAAATAAAAAACTTGTCTTATGTTAAGGCGAATGCAGCATATTTTATTTTTATTGCCTCACAACAAAGACAATCAATTTCCTAGCCTTAAATGGTATTAACATTAACATCTTAAATAAACCAAATTACTTAATTCATTATTCTAATCCAGTCTATTATTAACTGGGGCAAAGGATGGCTTGTTAATTTTAATGCTTCCAAAAACTAAATTGCTCTGTATTAATCAGCTGAGAGAGCTCACTCTGCTTTCCATCAGTGTGGCTGATGCCGACCTCCAGGAAAGTGACTGGCTGTGCCTTCTTGGCTAATGTTCTTGGCTGACATGAAGTGGAAAGACTATATTGAATCCATTGCTAGGTCAGCTTCCAGGAAGGTTGGTTTATTGTGTCATAATAATTTTATTTATCCTGAATCTATCTTATATATCTATAAGTCTACCATTCGTCCATGCTTAGAATATTACTGCTACATATGATTCGGTGCTCCTGCTATCTAGAGATTCTTGATAAAATCCAAAGAATCTGCAATATTATTGGCCCTGATCTGGCATCTCAGTTTCAGTCACTTTTCCACAGATGTGAGGTTGCCTCCCTTTGCCTTTTCTATAAATACTTTCATGGTAATTATTTGGATTAGCTCTTCACTATGGTGCCTAGACTTTTTGAATTTAAGTGCAGTACTAGACTGGTGTCAAGGTCTCATCAATTTACAGTTCAGCTGGCTAGATGCAAGCATAAGTTCTTTCTTATCTCGCACTTCTTGCTTGTGGAACTCCCTCTCGGCTCCATGCATTCCAACCAATTTAATCTGCAAAAATTTAAATGGAATGTCAATCGTTATCTACTGTCCTCCTGATTACTCTTCTTCTGTTCTCGCTCCCTAGCAATGTTCCTGTTTCAAATTCTTCCACACCCAGTAACCCCTTGTGTCTTCATGGCTTTATTACCTTTCTTGGGGTGATCTCAATTTAAAATAAAAGCACCAAGCAAAATAACAGAATCAGAAATAAAAGATAAGCTTATCGGGATTTGGAGTTCCATTTACCTTAAGAAAAGTTCCACTTGCCTTAACACAGTATTTCTCAGCCTTTTTAAGCAACAGCAAACCTCAGAGCAAATGAAATTTTTAAAGGGTAGACATTTAAATGTTATTGAATAAAACCATAGATTTAAAAAAAAATACACACAAAAATATGAACTTACTTTGAATATTAAAATGAATATTGAATAAATTAAATAAATATATATTAGCTTATATATATATATATATATATATATATATATATATATATATATATATATATTTACTAGCAGCATGGCCCAGAGTTGCCCGTGCTTCATTCAAAAATCGTACGACTCATCCAGCAATTGCTATCACTTGACTTAAAATATTTTTGCCCTTCCTTGCCTTTAAAGGAGTGCCCTTTGCCGTGCTGATGTTGCTACATGCCTTACTTCTTGCCTATCTCACACTGCGAATTTTTTCTAAGCGCTATACTAAACATTAAATCTGTTATGAAAAAAGAACTAAACAAAATCAACACAAAATAATCAGCTTTAAAAAAAGGACTCGTAACTGGAAAAATTGAATGAAAAAAGAATGTTAACAACAAATACTTTTTCACACCCAACCCAGTTCTGTGGAATCAGAATCAACGTTGAGTTTAAGTGTTTAATGAGCCAATTGGAGTAAAGTGCCATGCAGATTTAAATTTTTTCCACTTGTGACGAATGCAGCTATCGATTTTTTTTGCATGTTAGCATGCTAATTAACATTCGTGTCAGTCAGCTGTTGGCTCTCACACTGGCCAATAGAATCTTCCTGATTCGTGGCAGCCAGCTATAACCTCTCACTCTGGCCAGTAGAAAATGGCTGCAAACTACATGAAAACTGCCGTAGAAGAATGAAAAAATCGATTATTTCCACTATCGATGGGAGTTGGGAAATGCAAAATCGGTCTTGGCCTTCCCACTAACTTGGAGCATGTACATGTAAATTTTGGTGCAAATCCGTCGAAAATTGCAGCTGTGCATTCATTACACAAACACACACATATCCTGGTTTATATATATATATATATATATATATATATATATATATATATATATATATATATAATATATATATATATATATATATATATATATATATATATTTAAAATATATTGTAATATATATATATATATATATATATATATATATTTAAAATATATTGTAATATATATATATATATATATATATGTATATATATTTAAAATATATTATATATATATATATATATATATATATATTTAAAATATATTGTAATATATATATATATATATATGTATATATATTTAAAATATATTGTAATATATATATATATATATATATATATATATTTAAAATATATATATATATATATATATATATTTAAAATATATATTATATATATATATATATATATATATATTTAAATATATATATATATATATATATATATATATATATATATATATATATATATATATATATATATATATTCTAATATATATATATTGTAATATATATATATATTTTATATATATATATATATATATATATATATATATATATTAAATAAATATTTAAAAAATACTCACACAAATATGAACTTTGAATATTAAATGAATATTAAAACAAATTATTTAAAATAATACCATCAAAAAATAATGAAAAGAATTATTTGAAAAAAGAAGCTTAATACTTATTCTTTTATTCAAATACTAATGCTGTACTATTACTCCTTCCACACACACACACATGTATGTATGCTGTGACAATATTTTGGGGCGCACTTAAGAGGAACATGCAGGACACCCACCTCCCTGGTCTTTTGAACAGGAGTAGGGGTTCATCCCTTGTTTCCTGTTTAAGATTGAGTTTCCCATCTACTTCAACTCTATACTTCTAACGTCTCCACTTGAACTCTGAAATTTTATTCACTTTTTTTTCTTTTCAATAGGAGTTGATAGGTTTGCCTATCGTCCGGTTCACACTCTTCCCTGGTCTTTTGAACAAGAGTAGTAGATGTTTATCCATTCTTTCCTTTAGGATTGTGTTTCCAGTTCCTTCTAAATCTTTTCTTTCTCTTCACTTCTAGTAAGCTCTTGTGTCTTAGTGGCATTACCACCTTGCTTGGGGTGAATTGATAAAAATAAGTAAGTTTTCATAGTCTGGAGCTGCTAGTCCCACGCCTAATTGGTTTTGAATTCAGAGCTGTCCATTTCATAGACTGGTTACCAGTCAAAGCTAGTGAGCTCAGTCTACCCTACTATTAACCCCTATCTAGTGAAAGAAGAAATGGATTTATATATTTCTAAGGTTATTTATGCAAAAGGGAATTCCAGGGTAGAATTTTAACTACACACATGTCTCAACAGTTTAAAAGAAGATCAAATCTAACCAATAACTCATCATAGGATTCTGCAATCTTTCTCAGTACAATATTTGTTTACATTTCTGCAATAACTGTGTGTGTAGCACCACATTTACTACACCAATAGTAGTCATGGTGTGTTTAATCATTTCACCAAAAGAAAGGTGATAATGCCACTAAGACACAAGGGGCTACTGGGAGTGAAAGAGAATGAGAAGACTTTAGAAGGAACTGGAAATCCAATTCTAACTAGGATACCTCTACTCTTGTTCCAAAGCCTAGGGAGGCTGTGTGAACTCTATGATAGGTGAACCTATTTTTATTCAATTCACCCCAAGCAAGGTGATAATGCCACTAAGACTACCTTGCTCTGCCGGTCTCGTCCACTTGCAAGCAACAAAAGCTGTTCGTGTAACAATCCTACTGGGAGTGAAAGAGAATGAAAAGCCTTTAGAAGGAACCAGAAACCCAATCCTAACTAGGAGACCTCTACTCTTGTTCCAAAGCCTAGGGAGGCTGTATGATAGGTCAACCTATTTTCTTTTTTTATACAATTCACCCCAAGCAAGGTGATAATGCCACTAAGATGCAAAGGGCTACTGGGAGTGAAATTGAATGAGAAGACTTTAGAAAGAACCAGAAACCCAATCCTAACTAGGAGACCTCTACTCTTGTTCCAAAGCCTAGGGAGGCTGGTGAACTGTATGGGGTGAACCTATTTTTTTTTTATTCAATTCACCCTAAGCAAGGTGATAATGCCAAAGACGCAAAGGGCTACTGGGAGCGAAAGTGAATGAGAAGACTTTAGAAGGAACCAGAAACCCAATCCTAACTAGGAGACCTCTACTCTTGTTCCAAAGCCTAGGGAGGCTGTGTGAACTGTATGATAGGTGAACCTATTTTCTTTTTTTATTCAATTCACCCTAAGCAAGGTGATAATGCCACTAAGACGCAAAGGGCTACTGGGAGCGAAAGTGAATGAGAAGACTTTAGAAGGAACCGGAAATCCAATTCTAAATAGAAAACAAAGGATAAAGCTCCAATACTGTTCGAAAGCCCAGGGGGGATTGGGAATTGGATGATAGAACTGTGACATTTGTACTTTAGGAAAATCACCGGTACTAATTTTTGAATTTCACTACTTGCAACCAGGAACCGAATTTCATAAATTTCAGAGTTTTGGCGGTGACTTTAGCTTATAGAGTTGAAGTAGAGTTTTGGAGGAACTGGAAACTCAATCCTAAACAGGAAACAAGGGATAAATGTCTACCTCTGTTTAAAAGACTGTGGAGGAGTTTGAACTGGATGATAGGCAAACCTATCTACTCCGGTCAGATTGGATTTGAATTCAGAGTTTTCCTTCCTCTAAACTGTTTGAACCCAGTATATACAGTTATTTAATCCATAGCTGAAGGAACATGGATTCATACCTTTTACAAGGTTATTAGTGAAAAAAACAAAAAAAAAAAAAAAAAAAAAACAGAATCAAACAGGTATTGAACTCTGCTTGCCTAATTCACTTAATTCATGACACCATCCATGCCATCCCAATAACTGAATTATTTTAATCCATTTAATGTGTCTTTTAAAGTATTCAATACATAAAAATTTATTTTTGTTTCAAATTGGCTTTGTCCTTTATGTTTTGAAATTGTCCGAACAACAGGATTTTTTATTTAAATGTTATTTTTTTTTTTTATTTCTCTCTTAGGTTGACAAAGCAACTGCCCATGGGTCATGCATTTGTGTGCATGGACACAGACAAACTTCCACAAATTCTTCAGCAGATTTTCACGTCGACCATGTTATCATCAAGTTAATGTTGGTGAGAATAGAAAAAAACCTACTGTGACACGATCGTCAGAATTTGTGTAAAAATCTATTATCTTCAGGAATGAAAATTAAAAATAATTTACTTTATTAAAAGAATTCTCTTTATTTTCATTATCCATTAAACGTATAATGTAAAAAAAGCTGTTAAATGTATAAAAAAAAATATTAAGAAAGATTTTTTACCAGCAAAATATGAAATTATGATTCTAATAAAAATGGTTAGCAAAGGAACCAATTTCTTTTTTTTTTTACTAAATTTCACCCAATACAAGTTTTGAGAGCCACTCAAGGTAGAGGGTTAATGTTGAGGTGTTATGTTAGATTAGTTCACAAAGCCACTGAAGCTGTTCATGGCATTCAGTAAGTGAAAGGAAACAAAATAACAATTGATTCTTCTTCTCTATGTCAGGTTCATTCAGGGCGTGGGCAGTCATGGCTCTCCACAGCTTCCTGTTCTTTGAAGTAAAGTTTGTTTTCCTGCCATCTCTCCTAATACCTGTTCTGTCAGCCATTTACTCAAGCTTACTAGGTAGGTTATGCATTGTTTTCCTCTGTCCCGCTTGCCTTCACTATGTCCTGTGAGTGTCAGATTTTCCAAGCCTTCTTTCCTCCTTATGTGTCCCAGAGACTTCAACTATATTTTTCTTATTTTATGCATAAGTGTTCTTTTTGTTTCCATTTTCCTTAAAACTTCTTCATTGCTCACAAGTTCAGTCCATGGTATTCTCAGCATCCTTCTGTAGAACCGCACTTCTGTTGCTTCCAGTTTCGTCTTCATCTGCGAGGGGATTATTCAGCATTTACTGCAATATAGGAGGACTGATATTACATAACAGTTCAGTATTGTTTTCTTTGTTTCGAACAAAATTTTCCTGTTTCTTAATACTCTGCTTAGCTTTTGGAAGGCATCTTTCGCTACTCCAATGCGCCTTCAGGTTTTGGTAATGCATTTTTCTTTCCTCTGTTGAAATACTTCCTCGTTATTTGAATTTCCGTACTGGTTTAATTTTGGTATCTCCAATTTGTTATCTGTCTATATCTCTGAGATATTAATTACATTACTCGAACTGTTATCCTCATCTTCATTGCTATATTAACAATGTTTCGGCCGTTGTATGCTCCGGCCTTCTTCAAGTGATTGGAATTTCAAACCGAACCCTTCATTTCAGCCGCTGGGGTAGATTGTTCTAGTTCCACGTGCCATGCTTCTTCCAAATGTCAAGATATTGGTTAGATCCAGTGATTAGACCCAAAGAGTTGTGAGTTCAGTACCAGGACACAACAGTGGTGAACCAAAATTTGGAGAGATGAGTTAAAGGGAAACAACTGAAACATCCGGAAGAGGCATGGCATGTGAAACTAGAACAATCTACCCTGGTGGACAAAATAAAGAGTTCGTTTGAAATTCCAATCACCTGAAAGATGGAGCATACAACGGCCGAAGCGTTGTGAATATGGCAATGAAGATGAGAATAATGGTCTCAGTAATATAAATAATTTGATATAATAATATATACACTACCTCATTACGATACTTATCGACACGATCAAACTTGTCGAAAAAATCCCGAAATGACTTCACATCCGGGTTATTAGTAGCCAATATTTTCTCTGTGCGTTCTATATCGAGGTCAAGTCGCCTGTTAATACTACACAACGTGTCATCGTCAAAAACGGCTCAATCTGTCAAAACAAATCAGGCCTCTCCGCATGGCCATTGGGCGCATAAACCACAATGAGACGAAGAGACTTATCCTTTATAGTAACATCCAGCACGCAAAGCCTGCCCGTTGGATCTTCGAAAACAAGAGCATACGCCACATTCAAATACTGCTCACTACGCAGGAAACACCTCTCAAGCGTCCGTCAAAACATGCTTAATAGAGGACAAACCTTTTAGCATATATTCACGATCGCGAGTTGAAAACCGAGTCACCTGTAGACAACATACATCCACACCGAGACGCTGAACATCGCAAGTGAGACTCGTCCTTCGAGTCTCCGACCTCTAGCTTCGACCATTTATCCTAGCCAACCAGAGAGCAATGATCAGTTTGATTAGGATTGGGGATTTGCATTAAACAGGCTCGGGGTTAGCACACCGACGGCTTGTCCCATTGAATCTTGGCCCATCTGACTTTTGATAGTGCCGTCAAGAAACAGGCTACCAATGTCCCAGGGGGACGTTAATTTCAGAACTCTATATAGGTATGAGTGAACAAAAAGAGGGAGTCTCCCTGAACAGAACAGATTCAATTTTTTCACATTATCTTCGTCGAAGACCGTCAGGGGAGGGAAAGTCCCGAATGTGTCATTTGCCTCTTCCAATATCGCACATATTTGTTGAGATCCCTGTCCCAATCGTACCATACTCTCTTGGCTTTGGAAAATTTCTCGGCTTTTCAACATCGTTTGAGTTCTTTGAAATTTAGAAGATATCTTAAATCTTTGACTTTGTGGGTTTGCGTTCATGCCTTTTGCGTCTGCTCCCTCGACACAAGTCCTCCTTTAAATTGTAGATAGGTTTAGTTTTTTTTTTATTTGATTCCACCAATGGACTTCTTTACTTTTTGTGTTGTCCGATTTTTTAGGTGAATTCATCGGATTATGGGCAAGGGATAGTTTGAAGTGTTTAGGGGTATAGCCTTTTTCGGCAATGATTTTTGAATGGCAGTTTTTTTTTAGGGTGGTAATCTTGGATGGAGTGAGCGTTAAGGATTTTGTGACTAAAGGTGTAGCCACGTGATATGTCCCGGAAAGGGATATATTTGAACGAAGTACCTAAGTGGTTTTGGCTACTATAACGAAGTAGAATACGGTAGCAGTAATCGACTGGTACGCGTCGCAGGTAAGAAGTGTAGATCAATGGCGTAGTCCAATGGGCGTCGTTATAGACTTAGCTCTCAGACTAAGTCTCTTGACTCTGTCGTACCTACACGTCCATCGGTATTTATGACGGACACCATCCAATCATATTCCGGTGAGGGGAGAACACATTATATCACCATGATATATTTTTTGATCAAAGAGAAGGACGATGCCGAGGAAGAGGAGCGCGCTGCTGGAGGTTGCTGTGTTCTTTTAGACTTCAGACCTGCTTTTAGTTGTCCTAATTTCTTCTTTATTTCAAAACTTGGCTTATACCTTATTTTCACTGCTCTGAACTTGTTGGTGTAGCTGAGGGGTCATCGCCTTTGGAACAGGAAGAGTTAGTGGGACTGGGGGCTTCCGGGAACTGAGGTCCGCTGCACGGAGCTTCACTCTTCTCTTCTCTAACGATCAGTGCCATTTCCCTTCTCCGTGACCGCACAAGTGGCTGACAAAAGCTTTTCGGGAAATGGAGCTATGCATTGGACCCAACCGGGGGGTTTGCCATTCCAGTCTCAGTCTTTGCCATGCCGATCACAGGCAAGGCGGAAATAACACGACCAGAAAGTGATCTGGCTTGGCATAAAGCAGAATTCCAGAGGCCTTCTTTGGGCAGGAGGAGGAGAAGTGACCATCCTCTCCACATTTCCAAAAGGTTGGTTTACGGCTAGTTACATTTTCTGGTCAGCTATATTCAGACAGTTGGGTATGGAGAAGTCTTTACGATCCAGCATTATCTCAAATGTCCATCCCCTGTTCTGTTCGGCAGAGTTATCACTTAGTATCTGACCGTAATGTACTAGATAGGCGGTCAAGTGCTCTCCTGTGACCTGAGGAAGAACCTCGTATACCGATACAATTTACCTTCGCCAGCCCTGATATTCTGTGTGGATTATGAAGAGTTTGGTTGTAAGTGGGGGCGTCTTCACAGTTGGTAGGCGTAGGTAACAGTACGTACCACATGAAGTAACATTTACCCTTGATTACTCTTTGTGGTTTTAACACAGTGTCTTTAGTGGAATGACAAATTTTGCGCGAACGCTTGTCGCACAAAAAGACAGACATATTTTTTTCTCGAACCGCTGTAATTTCAGCGGTCTACCAAGAGCCCATCTGGTTTGATAAGATGTTCGTAACTCAGAAACTTCGTAATGTCAATTATACATTTCGAGTGTGGGGGGAGACTTCCAGAAAGACGTCGAATCCCCAGCCGTTACATTATCTCTGTTGCTGTTGTTGATGTCATTGTTATTCCCCTTTTCATTCTGGGTCGTCTTATTTTCTGTTGGTGTATTTTTTCTTGTTTTGGAATTTTGCCCATTTGCGGCCACCATGCGTTGTTTCTTTTTTTTTTTTTTTGTAGTAATATCCTCCTAGTTGTTTACTTCCTTATCCGGTGCTTGTTTTTTTTTTTTTTTTTTTTTTTTTTAACCAAAAAGGATCTTTTTAACGGACAATTTTGAAAGGATTGTGCCCTATATTTCTTACAGGAAAAAAAGTAAATTTAAAAAGCAAAAACAAAGGCAATCCTCAGACTATATACATTGTGTTTTGCTCGCCTTTTTATATGTACAGGTCTGTGATGCATTGTGTGTAGTCTATTGTATTTATTCTAACAGTTATTTTGGTGGGTGTGGTTTGATAATTTGTTCATTATTTACTTAGTTTATTTATTTATTTGTTTCGATTCATTTATTTTATTTGTTTTTGTTTATTTTATTTATTTTAATTTATTGTTCGTTTAGTAGTAAAAATTTTATGGAAATAAAAAGGCAAGACAAGCTTTACCGTTCATAGTTAAAAAAAAACAAAACAAAACAAAAAAAACAAAAAATACAAAAAAAAACAGTCGACCGGTTTCACTCAACAGAGTTGGAATCGAGGAAATAAATGTTACAATATAAAATATGAAATAAATGTAATGTATTAAAGGCGGAACAATATGAGTGAAATAATGTCAAGCCCTAACAGACATTCCCTCTGTTTAGAGAGGGAAAGCTGTCTGGACCTGACATAGATTGTTTCTAATGCCTTCAAATGTAAGAAATAATAAGCACGACAAAGGATTGGAAAAGAGTCGACGCTAAAATTGGTGGCACAATTCCGATTATTTATAAAA